AGGACCTTGAGAATCTCAGTTCTGGCATCCTTCTAGACTCTGGCTCAGAGTATCACAAAATGCAGTCATTTTTCTGTTTGCTGCTAGGGTGGTAGGTGGGAGACATGGAAAGTTTTGATGCTTCTCAGCTCAGGCTGGCCTTGAACTTCCGATCCTCCTACTATAACTTCCCAAGTGCTGGAGTTACAAGTGTGCACCGCTGCACCTGGCTGAACTAACTTGTCAACTGTGTTGCTTGGGATGCCTTCCAGTGCTTAAGGATTTCCTTAAGTGTGTCAGGGAAGCTCATCCTGGATATGAATTGGGAGCCATTCACAGTTGTCATAATGATAAGTCCAGCACAGTAGCCTCAAAGCTATGTGAACACAGACACTGAGACACACAGAGTTCTAAGCCTAAGCCTCTGTTGCTCTGCACCACTCACCTGTGTTTCTTGGATCATACTTAGGCAAGGATGTTCTTTTCAGAACTGTCAGAGCGCATTTCCTACCTCACCACAAGATCCTGGCTGGCACCCCAAGCACTGTTTGCATAGCTCTGTCCTGCACAGGCAAGGCCAAGGAGCAACCTCAGCAATGGCTTCTCAGGTGACAGTAAGTTTGCTGATGATTGAAGCCAGCCTCTGCTAGATGCTGTGCTCTAAAGAAATGTGGGAGGGATGCTGGAAAGCATGTGTTGGGCTGGGTAGGAGCTCTGCTTCTGATCCAACAGAAAACTCAAGGCAGAGAGCTGATGAGATAGCCAGTATCCCTAACTAACATTGTCTATGCTTTGTGGGTATGGACACATTAGGTCTACATTTAAACCTTGGAAGCTCCCATCCACTGATTTTATGGAAAAGACTCTAAACTTAAATTACCTGGATGGTTGCATTGATCACAAGTAGAGGCAGACCTAGAACTCACAGCTGTCTAAGGCCAGCACTCTCGAGCCTGCACTGTTCCTGAAGCATAGCCCAGGGAAAGCTATTCAGTGTCCCTCCAGCCTATGGTATTGTGTTGTGGTCAGCTAAGACAATCCTATACTAAGCCTGTGAGTTTTTTCTCTCCACCCAAACTTCCTTCACTACAATCTCCTAGTGCCTGCATCTGATCCAGCCTTCCACATGCAATCCACCCTCTCAATATAGCTTCTAGAGAACCTTAGAAGAGGAGTCTCCCCTCCCACAGTCCAGCACCCTCACTGGACTCCTTGTATTACAATTACTGGTATAAATAACTCATCTCCCACAAAACTAATGTCACACTAATCCAGCATATTGCATCTTTGCTTGTGTGTTAGAAAAAAAAAACTCTTTATTTTCTTTTGTTTCAATGGCATTAGTACATCACTTGGCCTGGGACACATACCACAAATGATAACTCTGGTTGCTGCCAGAGGACTAGTGGGTGGCCAGGATCCAAAGCAAATTAAAGAACCACCAACATCACTTCTCTGTCCTGGACACAGACACACACATACACACACACACACACACACACACACACACACACACATCCTCTTTAGAATCCTTTTTCACTGGCATCCAGTTCCTCCTGGTTCTCTCTACTCATTTCCAGAATTCTGCTTCTTTTTCTAAAGCTACAGCTTCCATTGCTAGTAACAAAAGAGTAGTCCTCATGGGGCTCTGCCTTTCATCTGTGATCCCTCATCAAGGACAGTAAAGAAAACCCTATGGGTCACAGGGCAACTGGGTAAACTGTAGAACTATGTCCTTGGTCTCTCCTTAGGAGACCAGAGAAGCTGTGCTGCCATGGCCCTCCCCAGAGCAGGATTGAAGGGTGACTGCAAAGTCTTGAAATTTATATTACATTTCTCAAATTTAAAATGTAGAAATATAGTCTTTCAATGAGAAAGAATATGTTTAAAACTCCAGTATTCTTGGCCATGTTTTCTTGCTTTATTGGGGTGCATGATACTTTGTGTTTACTTTGTGAAATTGAGCTATTTGATTTTGTGCGAGAGAGACTTTAAAGAAATTACTTTTAAAAACATTATCTACGTTCAAACCTAAAGCGACTGAATAGTTTGCCAAAGGCTGCTCAGTTAATTGATAAGTAAGGCAGATCCCCAGATCTCCTACTCTGTGATTAGTACCTATTTTACTTTATTAGTTTTATGAGACAAGATCTCTTTATGTGATCTTAACTGTCCTGGAACTCACTGTGTAGGTCAGGCTGGCCTCGAACTCACAGAGATCTGTCTGTCTTTGCCTCCTGAGTGCTGGAATTAGAGACATAATCCTCCATGCCCAGTGAGCACCTATTTTATAGCTGTACCTGAGGTCAAGGTAACTTTTCATCTCTCTTGATCTATTACGTTTATGTATTTATTTGTGTGTGTGCTTCAGTGTGTGTGTGTGTGTGTAAGTGTGTGTGTGTGTGAGTGTATCACAGTGCTTGTGTGGCAGTTCCAGAACAACTTACAGAAGTTGGTCATTTCTGTCCACCATTCTCCTTCCCATGTGGGTTGTCAGGCTTGATGGCAAACACCATCACCCACTGAGCCACCTCACCAGACTTCTCTTGCTGGTATTAGAGCCCAGCTCAGCATCTGAACATGGACAACATATTCGAAAGTTTGTTTTTACTGGGGCTGTACTTGCTCCTGACTTCTATCTCTGGCTGATGACTTTAGCCGCCAGGGAAGCATAGAGTCAGGGTATTCCATATCACTGCTGCAGTGCTCTAGAAGCAGGCTCTGTGGGATCCTGAAAGAAGAGGCAGGTGTCCTGAGCAGGCTCAGGACCAGCACTCTCTTAGGACTTGGGTGACTTGTCCTTTGATCACTGACTTAGTTACAGTTCCATCAAGAAGGCTGTCAGATGTTGTGAGCCTGAGCTGATTGCGCACAGTCAGGAAGACCCTTGTGCTCCATAATTATTCTACTAATTCTTACTGATTTCGGAAAGTTTGAAAGGCAGTCCGGGGTGATATTTGATCACCTATGCCTTGGCAGTGAATGGGTAGCATCTTTCACAAGCCCCACAGGCAACTCTCCTGGTACTTGAAGCCCTGAGCATCAAAGTCAGGATATTTATAATCCCAGGGGGAGCGGTTACCTAATGCAGCTGACTGTTCACTGCATTACCCTCTGCCACAGGCCCACCTGAGCTAACCCACGAAGTCTCAGTGCACTTTCTGGGCCTCCTGCCCCTCCAGGCAAGTGTGAGTAAGAGAGGGTCTTACAGATTTCTTATAGATAACAAAGGTAGGTCCTACCATAGGTGATCTTATGGCTACAGCCCATTAACAGAAGGTAACTAAACTGCCCTATACCCATTTGCATTTTGTCCAGTCCAAAGACCTAAAAGTAGTGGCCTCCAACAGTGCACCTCACTAACTGCTGGTAATGGGTAGTCAGCGCTGTTCCTTGCTAGGATGTCAAGTCCCTAGGGGACACTGCTTCAGGAGACGGAGTGCAGTGAGCTCAACAGATGCTTTCATACTCTGTGCTGGTTTACCAGCGCCAGGGAGCTGATGTCTTTGAGTTAACATTGTGTCTATGCCAGCCACACTGGCCCCTTCTAATGCCTTTTGAGTTAGTGTATCTTTCAATAATAGCATTTTAACAATGAAGTTTCAAAAAAAAAAAAACAACAAACAAACTTGTTCTTAATTTTTGCCCAAAGTGGAAGGAGGGAGAATTTCAATAATGGCATCATTATAAATTCTAAAGTGATGACCATTTGGCTGTGTTACAAAATATGTAGCTAATAATTAAAGATTTAAGTGGAAGCTTCATCAGTAAGGTAGACAGAGCACATTTTTCTCAGTTTGGGTGTCAGAAATGGCACTGCACAGCCATGTGCAGAATTGTCACAGTGCGAGTCTTTAAAATTCCTTCTGGATTTTAAGGTATTAACAGGTCCCTATCAACATTCTCTAAAGTTTTTTGATGTCATATTAGCTATTGAACAAAAATATGCGAACTATTACTTTGTTGATTTTGTTCTTAAACCACACTGCATTATCATCTGAGAATGTGTTCTTAAAGTATTGTTAAAAGTACTTTGAAAACTTGTAAATCCCTATAATTTATGTTTCTCCTGCCTCTGCTGTTTTGTTCTGTCCTTCTGGTTTCAATTTGAATGCCGTTCTGTCTGGGTGTGTACCTGTAAAATAGTGTTTTTCCGAGTACAATTTACGTCCCGACCTTAGGCTTTTACAGTGTCCCTAACCTTCTCCGGGTTTCCTCCTGTACTGTGAAGTGAGTTTGGGGTCACCCTGCTCTTTCATATTAGAATTGTCTAATCAAAGTTACTTGAAACAGATCTGATTTTGGCATTTCTTAGTTTATCATTTCGGCCTAGGGAGTGAATTAGGAGAGCGTCCCTGCCAGTCCACTAATTGCATTGCCCTATTAAAGTGTACACAGTTGTAAACCCAGACTGCTTCAAGACAACAGTCTCATTTATCTAAACAGTTCTCCTTTTAGATTCCATGGCACTGATGGAAACCAAGATAAGAAGTAGGGACTGGAGGAAAGATCGTTTAGAGCCTATACTAGCTGGAACCATTCCATCCCCTACAATCAGTCCCCTTTTCTTCCTAGGACTTGTCTGCATACGGAATCCATCTAACTGTATGCAGTGAGCTAAGTTAGGCAGAGACTGCAGTGGGCAGGGCTGCTCCAGACACTGTCTTACTTTGCCGGGAACAGCTCTGTTTTAAGGAACAGGAGACTACTTTAAGGGGCCTGAGGGGATTCTGCTTAAACTGTGCATCCTATGTCCATTCTGTAGGTATCTCTCTACGTGGAAGCTGTGCCCTTCATTGTGGAGTATTATTGTTAAATGGCCACAGAACCTTTGGAATCTTTTTCTTAAGTTGAGAAGTGAGATATTTAAATAAAATTTTGGCTCTTTTCAAATATCACTTGCATTAAGCTCTGATAAGGAGTCAAGCGCCTTTCTCTTTTTTTACCTTCAATATGGTCTCTGTTTGACTCGAGGGAAGGCCACAGCTTCCGCAGCTGACCCAGCTACTTCTCTGCTGTAGGTAATTGTACAGTCCGGCCGCCACCCAACGGTGCTACAGAAACTCTGCCAGCTGCCCTTCCAGTATTTCAGTGACCCAAGGCTCATCAAAGTGCTGTTCCCTTCGCTTATCGCTGCAAGCTACAACAACCTTCAGAACAAGATCATCCTGGAGCAAGAAATGAGCTGCGTTTTACTGGCCACATTCATCCAGGTACTTTCTGCCTTATGCCTCGTTTCTCTTGTTTTACGGGCAAACTCATGAGACTAAAAAGTAAACACGAGGCAGCTTTAAGCTCGCCCTCCAAGCTCTTTTACATCTCTGTGTCTGTGCTTCAGGAAGTCGTTTCTAAAGCCTGAAGTCACACCACAGAAACCGGGTGGAGTGCTGCATGCTTCTGCCTGGAGCATTTCCACCAAACACTCATTTGCCATTGACAAAGTGGAAACTTGTACTTAGGGATCTGTTTAACAGGACACCAGGCTCCTTTAAGACTTTGACCATCATGTGTGTCTGTCTTTTAGTCTTGCTACAGAGGATAACTGCTGAAGAAATATAAAAAGTTAGGTTTATTTGAACATTTAAAAATAAATATGGTTTGCATGTGTGTACAAAGTTGGGAGGATAAAACCTGTTTGATTGCTTTTTTTTTTCCAATCTAAAAGTTTGAAGTACTACCTTATATTTGCCTGATCCAGCTAAATTCTGTAGGACTGAAATCAGACCCTAGTGCTATGGAAAGTACTAACGTGTGTAAATTAGCTCACAGAGCCGGCAAGAGTAAAGTCAAGGTGACGGTTCCAAACCGATTTTTCATATCTTTGTAGATGATTATTTTATAAAATATCCCAGTTTTTTTTCAAATGTTCCGCTCTAAAATCGCTCCTGCTCCACATGATATTTCCTGTTCTTCCTAACGTGAAACAGAAAGCAGAGTTGTGTGTGTGTTATCCCTGTGCTGGCTAATGTTCAGATATCTCTGTCAGAGTGTGAGTCTGTGCAGCTGCCCGGGAGCCACGGAGGACAGCTGAAGACTTCCCGGCTTGGCCTCCCTCCTTATCGCGGTCAGGCAGCGCTCCCTGTCTCTCTCCCGGAGTGATCAGTCAGTAAGCACAGCTAGGTCAAGAAGACTTAGAAATATTTTCTTTTCAGCTTAGTTGTTACATTTGAGTCTGGGTCCTATTTTCTGCATGATTTCAAACTGGCTCATGATTAAATTAAAATCTTAATAGAATCCTGTACTGTAAAGCCATCATTGCAGCACAGAGCTCTTCCTCTGCTCTTAGAACCTTAAGACGAGAGAAGCCAGCTCTGTCGTGAAGTAGAAATGCACTTTCGGGTGTTTTCAGACAGTGATCTTTTCCACTGGAATCAATCCGAGGGGGATTTCTGAGTGTGCACGCTATGCTGGGCTCTGCTCTAGACCCTGGAGTTGTATCATGAATAAGACAGATAAAACCCACCTTCAAGACCATTCCTAAACAACAGAAGGATCAAGTAGCATAGGAGGTAGGAAGTGAGCCCTGGCCTGGGAAGGAAGGGAAGCCTTTTCTAGCTTAAGCCGAGAGGCCTCAGCCGAGACAAGTTTCCATGTGTGCCACATTAGTTTCTTTAAAACTACAAGTGACAGCACTCAGGTGGTTGAAGCAGGAAGATGACAGTGTGAGGCCAACCTGAGCTACACAGTGAGTAAGACTGTCTTAAAAAACAAAAATATGGATGAGATCCAAAACTATAGTAAAAGGTGGGAGATATCAATTACTATTCCAAAAAGACCATATTTAATACAGTTTTGCCAAATGGTACAGAAATTACTTCTTTCTTAATTTGTGGTAGCATTATTAGACTAGACTAGTGAAGTTAAATCATTTTTTTCTATAAATAATTGTGCTCAAAAAATGAATTATTTTGAATCAACTTACAAATGTACCATGGTTCCATATATATATATAATCACTAGAAAGTAATGTTAAGATTATATTATGGTCTTATTATATACTCTATTTTTTTTTCAGTTTCCACCTAAAAGTAAAATGATCAAACTTTTAAAATTTAGATGCAGACTACTTTTGTTTTGGATTGATTTGCTTTTTGTTTATTTTTTATTTGTTTTGTTGCTTGCTTGCTTGCTTTTGAGGTTTCTCTGTGTAACATCCCTGGCTGTCCTGGATTATAAGGACTCTTATATTCATAGTTTTTTTTAAATTCTTGCCAGGCATAATGGCACATACCTATAATGCAAGCACTCAAGAGCCTGAATGAAACATGAGGGTCACTCATGTGGGTCGAGCCTGAACTCCAACTCCCTACTACACCCACCCCCTCAAAAAAAACCTTTTAAAAGTCTTGTTAGCTTAAAATGGACATTTGGCTTAGGTTTCAGGTGGGGGTATACAGTTGTGATCTGTAGGCAGCACTATGACCCTGGGCAATGCTCACATAGAAGACTTAGTTCAGCTTTCAAGAATGTGGCCGCACAGCCTCGTCCTCTGCCGTTGTGTCTGTGCCCCAGATAATTCGTGTGGCTGTGACACCAGCTTAGAGGGACCTTGCAGTTCCCTTCAGAGCGTTGGTCTCAACCCAGTTCTCTCTTCTCATACAGGACTTTGCACAGACTCCAAGTCACGTGGATAACCAGTCTTCTTATCCCAAAGGTAGGTCCCTCTAAAACTAAGTTCCATGTGTGAGTTAGCTAAGTGAATGGGCTTGCATTCCCTTTTCCAGGTAGAGAATTTCTGTGTTGTCTAAAGTATGTGATGTTCAGACACCAAATACTTGAAGAGTAAGAGATCTATTATATCACCAGAACCTACAGAGAAGCCTCTGGAAATAAAGAAAAGCACAAACCACCTCTATGTCCTTTGCTGGTACAAGGTCTACTGAATGCTGACTAATAACAGGGAAGGCAGTCATACAGCATTACTACCAGCCCAGACATGTCACTCAAATGCGTCAGTTCCTAACATGGGCTCCCTGTCCATGTTCAAAATAAAGGTGTCCATGACAGTAGCTAGACCCCTAAATTCAAGCACTTGACCTCTTTTAATTGAAAATAATATTACATTGAGAAAAATTAGCATCCAGTTAGCAAAGTTCTAGAAGTAAAGGTTTTGTTCTCATGATCAGGGCTAGAGCCGGATGGTTGTCAGCTTTATGTTTGCATTTTTAAATATCCTGCCACCCAGGCTATAATGGAGAAGGAAAGTTTGGTCAAATGCTGTTGTGGCAGGATCTCTGGTTAATGAGTCCCAAGCTAGACTTTCTCCAAGTCCTCCATTAGTTTGATAGTATTAAATGTTCCCTTAGAGCTGGACATGGTGGCACATGCTTGTAATCCCAGTCCTGGGAGGTGGAGACAAGAGTAATCCTTTCAAAGTCACCCTTGGCCAACCTGGGTTACACGCAAACCTATCTCAAAAAAATAAAATGAAATAAAATATATAATAGTAATTGTTCAGAGGCCCACTCCTACCCAGTAGGATCCTCTGGGGCACCCACCAAGAAACCCTTACTTGGAGACAATTTGGCTCTGTCATTTAAAAAAAAAAAAAAAAACCACAGTAAGCAGGTAATGCAAGGTACCCAGAAGAAAAAATAACAAAACTGTTACAATATCATGAAAAAATGTGAGGCTTTATTGACTCGGGCACTCAGAAAAGTACACAGACAGCCGTGCGGCTTCCCAGACATTCAAGCTGACATCACAGTTAGCACCGCTGTCTTTGTCCGTGTGCAGGTTCAGTTCTGCCCTCACCCAGCCACCAGCTCTTTCTGTTTTTCTCTTTCTTTTTTTAAGCTATTAGGACATTTGAAGGAAATCAGTACAATTGTTTAATTTTTTGATCATATGAAAATACTTTTCCAAATATTCTAATGTATTTATTTTTAATTGAGCCACAATATTTTTTGCTGATATAACTATGCAGACTGTCTTAATTCTTTTTTTTTCTTCCCTAAAAAAAGATGAGTCACTATTTAAGAGTCTGGGAAGAAAAGTCCGAGAATGAGAAACCGCCTCCTTTTGCTTGGCTCAACAAAGCCTGTGGAGTGGCAGCTCCTTCCTTTGGGAGTGGGGGCCCTCTCTTTGCCGTTCCTGCTGCATCTGCTCCCAGCACTGTCCGTGACAGTTCATATGCTTACCTGAAGAGAGATGGAACGAGAGCTAAGAGATATCTGTAGTTACGCTCACCTGCTGCCCTTGCCAAAGACCGGAGTTCAATTTCCAGCACCCATGTCAGGCAGTTCACAACCCCCTGTAACTCTAGCTACAAGGGATCCATTGCCTCTATCCTCTTAGGGTGCTTCCTGCACTCGCATATGCGAGTGTGCGCGCGTGCGCGCACACACACACACACACACACACACACACAAATGTGTGATAGAATAATGATATAATATCTTCTGTGAATTACAAGCTAGCTAGGACTACACAATAAGACCTGACCAAAAATAATAAATTTTTTTTAAGGCAATGCTTTACCGAGTATCCAGCTTGCACTTTGGTCATGGGCCCCCTTTGTGCTTAGATTAAGTCCTCATAAAATATGTCCAGGCAGCCTCCTGAGTGTGCAAGTAGCTGTGTGTTCCTAGGTTCTCACCACTGAGGGGCAAGTTCAGCATTCCAACCTGCTGTCTCCTGACTACACCACGCTTTGGAGGGTCAGCAGAGCTGCTGATGGTTCCCTTTGCTCTACTAGATAGCTGCTGAATGCCAGATCGAGCAGTTCCAAAACTATGCCTAAATGTATGTTTTTAAGTATATTATTTCAGGAAAAGGAAGTCAACATTTAGACAGGTTTGTGAGTCAGTAAAAGAGCTGGTTCTTGTCTGCAGGGTATTGACTTCAGTCCCCAGCACAATAATAACAATAATAGTAATAGTGATGATGATGTCACCCTTCACATATAGTTGTACCTATTCAAAACTATATATACATAGCTGCAACCCTGTTACCTCTTTTAATAAATATTTCATAATAGTATAATATATAGATAATAATCATAAATATATAGGTTAATGTCTGAATGTGTTAGAAGCACAAACTGAATTGTGGCTAAAATACATTCATAGCGTCTATACAATAGTAGATTGACATAAAGATGAAGCAAACACCTTGTTTACAGAAAATGTAGCAAAATTGACTGGAAATACATTGGCTCCATTTGTGCACTGGCATCAGAATCAGCTGATTTCTAAGCCTTCAGAAGTCAACTCTAAGTCTCTTTTCTGTCTCCCTCAGGAAAACTCGGGAACCTCGGGGACTACCTGGAGCTGGCTAACAGATTTCCTCAGCAGGCCTGGGAAGAAGCCCGGCAATTTTTCTTGAAAAAAGAGAAAAAATAAATGTTTTTTAGCTTATTGTATATTTGAACCTTTGTTAGTGTTGTGCATTGTTCCTTAGGGCTTCCCGGTGTGTTTACACTCTCCTCTGCGGATGTGCTCTTCTGTGCACTGTTTATATAGACTGCACACATTGGACTGTTCTTCCTAATTTTGTAAATTGAGTTTGTTTCATTTATGCACAATATTTTGGCGTTTGTTTACTTCCATACTGTATAATTTGCATTTGTAATATGGGTAAAATTAGACTTAAAATTAGCAAATATTGTGATGTAGTAACACAGTTTTCAATGTTGACTTTTCACGTTAAAGCTGCACAAATCTGAGAAAGTGTTAAGACATTTAACCTGCTCTAAGTTTTTCTTCTAAAGCTTGGAGTTGAGACCTGTGTAACTAACACTTTCCATAAGTAAGCCTTGGGACTGTTTGAAATTAGAATACCCAGTCACTGGTCGGGAACTTCCCTGGGAGAAAGCACTGTGAACTATTAGCTTTGCTAACCTAAATTTAGTGTTCAAAATAATAATAAAAAAAATTTAATGTGGGAGCATCAAGTATTTTCTTAAATAATTTATTTGAAACAACACAAAAGTAAAAGAAACAGTTAGGGTGACCTTGTCTCTGAGTATAAGGCAGTCATGGGCACACAGCTAGCTCTGTCTGGGCCAGGCAGGGGGACAGGGTGGGGCTTGAGGGTCTCCTCCTTAAGTGGTCCTGTGCTGAGCCTGAGTGGCATTGCTAATTAATAATTACCAAGAAAGACCTGGCACAGGAAGCTGAACACAAGAAATCTTACCTTTCTGCAAACAAACAAACAAAAAATACTTACCTAATATTCCAGGCACTTCTTTTTGAAACCTCACGGCGCTGCAGTTATGTGTGTTCAATTTTTTACTGTTTTACAAATTGAAAGAAAATAAAGAGGTGGGATGTCAACCTTGTGGAGCATCTCTGTGGGCGCTCCTGTCTGGAAGACTCAACACACCCCATCTCCCGAGAGGAAGGGCAGCGGGAGCCGGTGGAGGGCGTCCCCTCAGCAGTGGGGAATCAAGTTTATAAGGTTCCCTGCGAGACGCTTCGCGATGGAATATACCTCTTATCTGGTCGGAAATTTGCCAGAAAGCCGTAAATAATCGAGACAGCCGTGATTAACCTCCCAAAGCTCTACCAGAATTCGCAATTAAACTTGTAATCGAATGGTCCCGCTGCCCCTCTGTGTGAAGCGTCCGATAAAGTCGCAGTGCCAGCGGCTTCCTTCTGGGGCCAGGGCGCCGCTGGCCCGGAGTCTAGAGAGTCTAGAATTCGAACCCGACTTGGAAAAGGTGCTCAGAGCCCAGGAGCAGCGACATTTACAACCAAATTATGTACCTGGGGTGACAAAATTTCTCCCAATCACTGCAGAATCAGCCCTTCTGAAAGCCCAAGGGCACGTCAGAGCTTCAGACCTGCCGGGTCCTCAGACACAGCTGCCTTCATCCCCGCCCTGCCAGACTCTGGCCGGCTGGCATTGTGACCTTGAATCTGGAGGCCTCAGTGGGTCCTAGGTCAAGCCCTGGCCTTAACCTTAACTTCTATGTTCCTCAGAATCTTGCAGCTGTGAAAAACACCTGCATCTTTCCTGGTGGATGTCAGAAAGGGCATTGTCCTCTAGGTCCCCAATCTTCCCCCCCCACACACACACACCTCTCAACATACACACACACACACACACACACACACACACACACACACACACTTCAGCACCAGCGTCCCGGCTCAGCCTCTGTAGACACACACCTCATTTACATATCCAGCTTCCCAGCTAGCAAACTCTTACTCACCCCACCCCCAAATGCTGACCTTCTTGACCAGAGGAGGGTCCTGTGGTCAAAGGCTGGACCCACCTAGCATTCCTGTTCGACCGGGATTGCTGCTAATGGCACAAAGGAGCCGGGACCTGGAGTTGCCCAGCCCCACATCTGGATCTGAGTGGAGTACTTCCTCGCGCCCTTTCTTGTCCCATCGCTGCTCTCAACCTAGCTCTGTTTATCTGCATTTTCTATGCACAGTCTCCTTCAACAAGGTGCTAGCCTGTAATTGGTCACACAATCCTCATTATAGCACTGAATCTCCGCATTTTAAAGAAAGTTTACTTTTACGCCAATCAGGCCCACGGTTAAAAGCCTCTAATCTTCCCAGCATCAGCTTAATAAACTGAATTTCCTGCTTTTATCGCAGCTCCGTTGGGGACTTACTTCTCTGCAAATACTTTTAGCCGTCCGTTGTTTTCTCCCTCCAGCAGGCTTCTATTCGGCCTTTTGGTGAGCACAACTAATGTCTACCTTGGCAGAGAAAGCCTACCTCTAGGCAAAAGTGGCAGAGTCTCACGTTTTTGAAGGGCAGAGTTAGAACAATGTGTCATTTAAACCCACTTTTCCCAGCTCTGGCAGGCTGGAGCTTTAACGTACTCCATAGTCAAAAGAGAAAGGCTGATGTCTGTCCCACAGTCATTCAGTATTGAGATTCCTTGGGAATACTGCCACAAGGATTCTGAATTTCCCAGAATTGTGTGGCCTTACAAAATTGTGTAGCCAAAAATTTGTCTGTCTCTAGGATGTTTTTCCTGCCACCATTTCACAGAGCTCAGCAAATAATTAGTTAAATCTTCTGAGAAAAATCTTATTCTAAAGTGAATCACTTTAAATAAGTCCCTTTTTTCATCCATAGTCTCTTCCCTTGAACAAAGGTTTTACTACTCTTAATAAACGTTAACAAAAGGTACAAAAGTTGTAATTGTCACAGGTAATTTAATTTATCAGGAAATCCCTACTTCATTACAGAAGATGTTTAAAGATGACCTGGGAACCAGTAAAATTGATATTTATTCATGTAACAACTGTAGATCTGATGCCTTGCCAAGGACATTGCAAGTTTTTCCCCTGGAAACTTGAGAGCACCACACGCTCCTCTGGGTAATGGGAGAACACGTTTATGATGTCTCATACAACTTACTGCACAGTGACCACTGTTACCTGGGTAATTTCCCACGGTAGAAAAGGCACGCACCAGTGTTGAAGTCAAATGTTTGCTTGTTTAAGCTTTGAACGATGAGGGGAAATATCATAGTAACTAGGTATGTAGATGTTTGTAAAATACTGCATGCACCCAGTCAAGCAAAAATTTAGCACTTATAATGAAATTCCCTAAGGACCCGTTCCTTTTTAATAAAAAAGTAAAAGCCCAATATTCTGATAGTCAAAAGTTAACAAAAGTAAGATTTAGCGAAGTTTCGTTTCCTGTCCAATAGCCAGTCAGATTCAAAAAGGAGGAATCTGTATTTCGCTTAGGAGGGAATGGTCTAAGTTAAGGGAATGACGCCTCAAAGAACCAGCCTTGAGAGGTAAAGCTGGCCCTGATTAACTCTCTCTCTCTCTCTCTCTCTCTCTCTCTCTCTCTCTCTCTCTCTGTGTGTGTGTGTGTGTGTGTGTGTGTGTGTGTGTATCTTATCTCTACATTTGCAGACCATTTCCTAAATCTCCAAGAAAGGGAATGCCCCGCCCCTTTTCTAAGTGCTAGCATCACCTTGACTTTCAGGAAGTGAACTATAAATGTAGTTAAATTTTCCCACCTCTTCTCCTTTTCTTTAATTGCCAGGAAACCTTCCACCCTTAATTGATGCTATGGGATGGATGGGTGTGAAACTTCTGGATGGATGCTATGGGATGGATGGGTGTGAAACCCAAGCGGCTGCTTCTAACACAGCTGGGGGGGAGGGGGGGGGGTCCTACTCCTCTATCCCGAACTGCAGCTGCCTTTTGGGAACATTTGTACCCAATCCCTACCTATACGCTAGGATGGTATTTATCCCCTACCCCGAAAGTGCTTTGCACGCCTTCAAAAAAAACGAAACCTGGACATAGAGGGACGCCCTGTGGGGCATCTAACTGCGGGAACTAGAAAAGTGAAATGTCAGATTGTTGCAGGATTGGTGGGTTGGCTGATAGACGGCAGCTTTCCGAATCAGCCAAGGGAGGACAGGAGGCTGGCTTTGGGAAAGAACTGTCCTAGACTGCCAAAGGGTTAAATATTTGTAGAGGGTAAAACCTGAGCCTGCCGGGATTTTTTTTTTTTTCCTTCTGCTTGCCTGGGGCGGCCTGCTGGAGATTCAGTATCTCTTGGTTATTTCCTGCGATCGCTAAAGCCAGTTTTCAAGAAAACAAGTCGCAGGGGTTTGAAATGTCACACCAAGTGACCTGGGCACGACATATCCAGGGGCCATCCCCCGCCCCCTCCATTTCGGGCCTGGAAAGAAAATAAACCAAGGACACGCCAGACTGGTTCTGGGTGGACTTATTTTTCTCCTGCGCCGCGATCCTAGCGGGGGCTTGTTGTGGCTCCTTCAGTGTATCGCTTGCAGGTGATGCCAAACGTAGATAAGGAGCCGCCCCGGCCTTCTCCTCTGTCTAGACAGGGGAATTAATAAATGCAGCGAGATTGATCACGTCGCGCATCCACTCTGGGGACAGCTCGTCAGTCGCAGAGCCCAGGGGCGCAAGGTGGGCTTCGCGCCCCAAACCCATCACCCCACAACTGGACACCAGTCTCCAGGCGCCCACGCCTCTGGCGCTGAGCATTGCAGATTTCGGAAACGCCTCAAGGCTCGCACTGCACCCGAACAGCCCCGCCCCGCCGGCACCCAATAAGTGTCGGGCCCGCCCTGTAGGTGCCCAATCCCCGTCGGGCACGCCCGTCGGCGTCCAATCAGCGTCTGGCCCGCCCGTCGGGCACCGACTGCACCGCAGCACGAGGGCGGGTGGAACGGGTGAAGCTGAAACTTCCCTTGAGGCCCACTTTCGAAGTGGCGTTAGTCTGGCTCCCCGGGCGCCGACAGCACACAGGAGCGGCATGGCATCGGGTTGTTTTTTTTATTAAGATCAAAATATTCATCCCACTATTCGCCTCACAATAAATAACAATAACTTACGTTTGTTCGGCAAAGGCTCTCACTGTCCTCCGTCGACCGATAATTTAAAACATTATTTTTAAAGACAGTCTGGGTTCTACTTTGTCCGGCAGTCATGCGCTTTGGGGGTTGTGTCAGTTCCTTGGGGTTGTCCCGTCCTCCTCACCGCCAGGTGAAAAACCTCGGGTCGGTCAGCGCAGGTGCGTCCGGATGGAGGGCAGGTCCCTGTAGGGCCCCACGCGGAGGTGGGTACCTGGGCGAGTGCGGCACGGAGAGGCAGAGTGGCAGCTCCCCACGCAGCGCAGGAGAGCCGAGGGCGGAGCTAACCCAGAAAGTCCCAGATTCTATTTCGAGAAAAACAAAAAGTCCTGGGAGAAGCAGTCTCCAGTCCCGGCTGGGCAGGCTGCGTCCAGCACTTCTGGTTGTCCTGTGTGTCGTCGTCTGCCTCTGCCCCCTCGCTTTAAATAACAACAATAATTACAAGAGCCAGAGAGTTTTCGGAGCTGGAATGGCCTGAGCATGGGTGAGTCTCATGCAGGGAGCATGCGAGGTCCGCGGGCTGGCAGCTAGGGGTCCCTGCTCACGTCTCCACGGGACTCGGCACCATACTGTTGGGGGTGTCCGGGAGCTGTGAGGACAGAGAGGTCACGTCGCTGCCGGAGGAGTTGCCTAGGGAGCCAGACTCTGAGAAGGAGACCTGGGAGGGCAGAGACACCAGGGTAGAACAGGTAGCACAAGCCCGAGCCGGTGATTCTGGGTCACCTGCTCAGAGACCCTGCGTGTTCCCTGCAGACAAGTCGCCAGCTGAGTAAATCCTGAGGAGAGGGATGCCAGGTTCCCCCAGTGACACCTGGGGATTCCGGCGGGTGAGTGAGAGACATTAAAACCAGGTTTAATGTCAGCAGTGAGGTTGTAGGCCCAACAGCCTTTCCCCATTGCCAGTTCTGTCCCGAACCCCTTGTCCCAACGCAAAGTCCCCTCCACTCCACTCCCACTGGGCAGTTAGCACAGGGCCTCACCAGCTGTTGAAAAGCGGGTTGGTCCAGGTCACTCTGGAGCGCGAACTCGCTGAGCGCTTTCCAAGGTGGCTGGTATGTCTGCACCTCCACTGCGCTGCCCTGCACCGCGTTCTCATGGCGGATGGGGCTGCCCGCAACCAGGGGCGTCCCAGTCAGTCCCTGGAGGCTCTAAGAGGCAAGCGGACGGCACAAGGCATTAGAGTTAGGTCTTGACTTTTGTTCCACTTTCGAGCATGGAGCCCCAGGTTCTGGAGACCGACTTCGAGATTGCATTGGTGTGAGGAGGCACACTTGACTGCACACGACTTGACTCCACACCTCCGCAGTGGAGATACCCTAGGGCCCACAGATCCGCCACCCGCTTCACTACTATGATCCAAACACCAAGGCCAGGGAAACGGAAGCCTTTACGCCCTTTCCTAGCCAGGTATACAAAAGGAGGGGGGGCGCCTCGGATCGAGTCTTGACAAAGAAAATTACACCTGGCAATCCCTGCCTAGGACTCTTTGTCTAGGACCCCTCGACTCTGGGCTTTCGCTGGCACAAGACACCACCACCAACCACCGCAACTGAACGCTAAGGTCAGCCTTCCGTTGTGGTGCCAGGCTACGTGGAGAGTCCAGTTCCGCCTAGGTCTTCCCAGAAAGAGGCCTCCGGAATGCCTCGGTGGCCACCGCCCGCCTCCCCGCTACCGCCAGCACCTCACCGCCTTGTCGCTGTGCTGCTGCTGCTGTAGCTGCTTCATGAGAATGGACTTTTTCTTGTCCTTGCAACGCTTGTTCTGGAACCACACGCGGATGACCCGTGGGCTCAGGCCCGTCATCTCCACTAGCTGCTCCTTCATGAGCGCGTCGGGCCGCGGGTTAGCGGCGTAGCACGTCCTCAGGGTGTGCAGTTGCTTCTCGTTGAGCACAGTCCGCACCCTGGTTGTCTTCTCTGCCTGCTTGTGCACGTGCGTGCGCAGCGAGGGCTGCCGTCCGGACCCGGTGTCTGCAGGGGCCGAGAGAGGCAGGAGGTCGGATGGGTCGCCAGCCATGCTCCCCAAGATTTCGTTTCCCTTTTATTTCGTTCATTTGGTTATTTTTCTTTTCTCTCTCCATCCGTTCGCCTTACCCAAAGGGAATATGCTTTTTGTTCTGTCCCTGGCTCCCAAGCCCGATTGCCTCTCAGCAATCTCCCGGAGTCCTGCAGGACTCCAGAGTTCTGCTCTAGGCCGCTACGCTACTAGCAGCCCCTAGGAAAACCCAACTGCGCCCAGCTGGATGAGCGAAGCCCTGTGTAAGAAGGTGGGGTTTTAGAGGAAGAGGTGGAAATCGCAGTGCGACTCCGGAGGGGAAAGGGAAGAGTTCCCGGGCTTGGGACCCAGCACAACTCCCTGACTGAGAAACTCTTCTGCTCCTAAAGGCCTGCTTCGGCCCGTCTCGCCGTTCGGAACACTCTGGAACACCGAAGAATCCGACTTGAGACAGCGAAGGCCTTCTGGGTACCGAATGGTTCCTTCCTGGCTGTCTGCCCTGGAGCTTCGGCCCGGAGATTCTCCCCTTCGCTTGGGTTCCCTCTGCCCAGTGGCTGGTGCCACTCACACCCACCTAGAACAGCTTTAAACCTACATTTTCACAACAAAAGGGGAGCCCCTGGGCGATCTCCAGAAGGGGTTCGTTAACACCAACTCCACTATGTCGTGTCCAACCTGGTCTATACGTCCACTGGATATTAGCTGCACTGTTTACACTGATGTCCCCTCTAGGCATTTCTAGGTCTGGGTAAACATTTACAAATAACCTACCCAGACCAATTTCCTCTTTCTACAGTGTGGAAACGGAGAAACAGAGAGGGGTGGAGCCCTGGGGCCACACAGCTTGGAGAGACGACGTCTACTAGGGTCTGAGCCTCATCCTGGCTTCCTGGAGCTGGGGTCTCTGTCGCACCCTCTCCACCTGTTTCTGGCCAACACCCAGTCTGAGCAACTCCTAGTTAGGACGCCTATCATCCTAGCGAGGGTTTTGTTCAGGAAACTCCCTGAACCTTTATGCTAGCTGAACCTCAAAACAAGAACACAGGCCCCTCTTTTACAAGGCTGGCCTTCTCCCGTAGGCTCCGGGCCGGATACCATCTTTTCTTCCTGACGATAACCTGTTCTTTAAAGGAATTCTAAACACAACCCAGACAGGCTCCACTCTCCGGATCCTAGCATCGTGTTCTACACCGTCCGAACCACGAAGAACACAACTCCCAAAGCTCAGGCTCACACACTTCCAATTCCCCACCCCCGACACACACGGCCCGGGTTCCCAGGGCCAGGGCCTCTCACACCAGCTTCCCG